TGTGGCTTCAGGCAACTGAATGGAGAAGTGAAGCTGAACGATGCTATACCAACCAAATGGCAAATGTGACACCTGATAATGTAAAACAGAGGCATCCCCAGGGCACCATGTAAAATTATTATAAAGTGGTGAAATAACAATATAAAGTTAATTTTATTAAAATTAACAATACTTTCCATCAGCACGAGACAATCTATATTCAAAATTAAAACAGTAGGAATGTTTATCCATTCAAGCATTCTGATAGGCTAAATATTGTTGACTGTTAAAAAAAATAAAGTTTCCCAGCCTCTTTTTTTTCTTATACATTCATAAATACTCACCCTTATGAGCAATACCACATTCAAAGGCCTGAAATTAAAAACATGTTTCCTTATGAAATTTGGTATATCTAGCATGTTGCTATAGAAACAAGCTATTTTTTTAAAAAAGAAACTTGATGTCTTGGAAATAAAAGAAAGGATAAATTGGTCAAATTTTGCACAGCACTTTTAAAGTACAATGAATAGAAATAGGTAAAATTAGTAATTTCATAGTATTATCTAAATCTTGATGCTTGCTGATTTCTACTACTTCCTATTATTTGCAGAACTGATCTGCACACACTTGCCAGCTGTGAGGTTTTGTGCTAAGTAAAAGTGTCAAATTTCAGGCTCCTTTACCTTTCAAAAAGATGACATTGAGAATTTATTCTTGATTACAAAAGAATATAAGTCTGTTGTAGAAAAAAAATTAAAATATAGAAAAGAGCAAAGAAAAGAGTAAATATTACCCCTAATGTTACGTTATAACCTGTAGCCATTATTAACCCTTTGGAACACATCCTTTCAGTATATTTTTCTATGCAGTGATAAGCATATGTATTTTTTGTTTCTTAATATTTAGTAAAAAATAAACCTGAATTAAGACTATGCCATATTACAAAATGAATTTTACTTTTTCACCTAAACTAAAGGAATACTTCACAGCATGTACTATGCTTCATCTAAAGAGTAGCTGCAATTATATGATAAACTACTTCTGGTGAAGAACTGGACATTAGTTTAAAATCAAGGAGTTAATTAATCAATAGATCCATGGAGTGGGGTAGGGGATATATTCTCTGGATTAAGAAGAATTTTGTCATTAGAGGACAAAAGGGTTAATTTATGAGATCACAAAATTTCGAGGAGCTTCCTACATTTTAGACACTTGGAAAATCTGTTTCATATGTTTGGAAATCTAAATCCACTAAATCTGCTACGATAAAAATCCCTATTTGAAGCTAGTTTTGTGTCCTTGATATTTGGAAACCAGAAAACGTGGATTATACAAGGTAGAACAAGGGGCAATTTAAGAATTATTTATAATTAAAGATGATATGCTTTTTAATGCTATTATCAAAGGGAAAAAAACCAAACCATAAAAAAATTTATGTAACATTATTAAATTTAATTTAAGCCAAGAAAATCTAAGCTTATGTGAACTCATTCCAACTATTTAACCCTGACCACTGAGCTGAGGCTATAACAGCAGGTGTGTTATCAGACAACTTACTGGAAATTTCATAAGCTCGATGAAGTTGGAAGATAAACAAGAACTTTCCCAGCCTCTTTTATTATTCCTAGATGATCTCTTTTACGTTTTTTAAGGGGAAAATGGCAAATTTTATACTCCTACACTCTATCTTAGCACACTGTCTTCCTTCCCTATTTCATTTCTCCCATATCGTATATCAAATATATCATATCGTTTATCGTCCCCCCGCCCCGAGGAATGTAAACTCCACGAGGGTAGGGTTTTTACAGTGATGTATCCCCAGTGCCTAGAACAGTACTTGGCACATAGTAGGTGCCCAATAAATAGCCACTGAATAAATGAATGAGTTTTCTTTAATTGGATAATCAGAGTTAGCAGAAGTCAATTTAAATCTTCAAAGCAAAGGAAGGCATTTTACAAGAAAGTAAAGATACTTTTGCTCAGAACTTGGATTTCTCTTACTTTGGAAGCACACATTTTTATAACTTTTGGTTTCCTTCATAGGGCTATTTTGATAACAGTAATTACTAGAGCCTACTTCACTGAATATTTGTGAATTCATTTTTTAAAATTTCTGAAAACATCTTTTTTTTTTTTTTTTTTTTGCCTCTGGTGTTGGGAAAAAAATGACTCCCCCGTTCTCTTTCTTGTAAAAAATACAGTACTAACCACACAAACTCAGCTAGCTGCCTCATCTATTCTCATTTATTCTGGCTCATCTATTCTCCTGCTAAGGACATTCTATATTCTATATTCCTAATGAACAATAGGACCAGTCTCAAAAATTTGCGTAATGGCAATCAAACCATTTTGCAAACAGTAACGCAGATTCCAATGATAAGATGAGTGAGCAGGATGCAAGAACACCTTAAAGATCACCTGCCGCACTTGTGTTTGAGGTGCTCAATGGCTGTTTACACCAAGTGCCATCTGGCTCTATAGATATAATAACAATTATTCCATCGAGGTGTGTAGCTCCCTAAATCATATTAATATACAATGATTCCACTAGTCTTATAGGAGTTGATGTCTTTGTGTGCTCCCATTTAACCTGGGTAATGCGCTAAAACAAGTGTGCCTCATCATTAAGAATTGATTTTTTATTTATGTGAATGTCACTGGCAATCCCATGATATCCCTTTGTAATTCGGTTGAACAGGACCGCACACTAGTGTTAATCTATTTTTATGGCATATCTTTAAAAATTTGCAACATCTTGCTACATTTGGATATTTATATAGAGATTTGTGTTCCCACAGAAAGCTGTTGTTAGCTTTGGAGATCCATTTCACACAGCAATAGGGCAAGTATCTAATATACTTCATTAGCTATCTTATATCAGATAAGGGTTTATTTCCTTAAATTATTTAACCTTGGTAGAACCTACTAAGATCACATAAATTACAAATACACTAATGAAAATCATTAGTTAGCCTATTCAAAAAAAAAAAAAAACCCAACAGGAATAAAATTAAAACATTTTAAAATCAGCCCTTTGGAAACATGTTATGAAATTAACTTGGTGAATTTACCATGATCATCCATTTCTTAACGTTGTCATTGGTCACTGATTTAGACATTGACATCAACTATTCTGATGTGCTAATATCTGTAAAAAAGTCACACTGCTTTTTTCTGGCTAATTCAAAATCTGATTTTAAAAGTCATAGTTATAATTATTTATAAATGTGCCTTAATGACTTTTGCTAATTTAAAAAAAATTACAATAAAAACAATAAGCAGTAATAAAGAGAAAAAATAAATATTTAAAAATACTGGGAACAAACACTATGCTGAAAAATTACACTTTAAATCTAGTTTTCCCAGGAGTACTTACAGGATCATTAAATAATTACCTCCTGGGGAAGTTCTGTCAGAACACCTTTATATTTAGAAGAGTATTATAACTTAGAACCTGTTTAGAAAGCAATAGCGAGCTTCTTCCAAAACCCACAGAATTTGGGGTGTGGGGAGATTATGGTGTGTTATACACTAGGTTCTTGCCCATTTTATACTGCTGTTTTAAAGATAGAATCGCTCTTATGCTATTGAGAGTTTATCATATACAATTAGTGATACAGCAACTCATTAGGAAGTTTAACAAGTTTCAGGACATTCAAAGAAATGAGGCAATACTTCCTCAGATCTAAAGGATTTTGCAAAAGAGTGTCACTGCAAACAAACTATTTTAAGATTCTTGGCCTAGAAAAGCCTCTTGTGCATTGCATACACAGATTATTTAGACAATTGAAAAAAAAAGAACACTGGGGTAAGTTCATTATTCCAACTTGAAAAGATATGTCCTAAAACTTAATTAAGGGCTCAAACTTCGGAAAGACACATTCATAAAAATCTACATTTGAGTTAGAACTGTGAAATCAATGTAGTTTTCAATGTAATCCACTAATACCTGTACTCCTTAAACTGTAATTTTTACAAATATGTTTCCTAGGAGCTCTGTAAATTATCTTCTTGATGTATTGTACCTGTTATAAATAACAAAGAAGCAACTATATGCTTTTGTATTCAATAAATAAATACATTTAATGCTCAGATATTTTCACTAAAGGTATGTCCACAAAGAAGCTGGTGACATTTTTCTGTGCTCTGCAGAAGTATGTGTGGTGAGCAATTATCAGCAATAATATATGTGTCAGTTGTTGAGTACAGTATTGCTTCTAAGCATTATTAAAAAACCACTCCACAAAGATGATAAAAGGTGGATTAATCACCTAAATGCGTATAAATTGAGATTTAAGGTCCGAGAGATTCCCTTCACTCACCCTGTCGTCTCACACGGGGTTGGCTGGTCACACATCATATCCTGGTGTGCACAAGGTACGCACTGTGGTTCAGAGTTAATATTGGGGATTTGGTTCATAGGGCTCACAACGGTAGTGTCTATGATACTATTCTAATGCTTTATTTTCATTAAAATTCTTCATTTTAGGAATGAGCCAAGTAAAGAGGGAACATGGAGTCAGTGTGAAATCTACTTCAGAGCTCACCTCAATTGGGTGAACAGTGAACGCTGTGACAATGACATTCACAATAGCATCGCTGCTGGCTATTGCTATAATTTGCTCTCTATGATTGTCCCTTTAAACAAAAAGCTCTGCACTCAGCATGCAAAGAAGTTAGAAGTGGGGAAAGGAGGGGGAACCACAGATATAAGAGGAGAGAGAGGAAAAAACTGCAGATCAATCATTTATAATTAACAAAAATCCGATCGGTGCTTTAAATAGAGATCAATGTGTTCCAGGCTGCCTGGATTGTGGGGATGTATTCACCTTCTCGTAACTCTCCAAGCAAGCTGTCACACCTACAGAATCACCATTTGTTTTCTTAACAAAGCTTCAGGGGGCGCCAGGCTCTCATTGAAATTTCATTAATCTAATGGAGTAAAGTCCTATAGAAAAAAATCAAATTCTCGTTGGACGAGATGCTACCTGGGAAAGATAACCTCTGTTTGAACTCTCAGACTCGGATTGCTCTGCTATTAGTCTGAGGAAACAGACAGCAACAACGCTGATTACAGCCACCGGCCTCAACAATTTTTTTTCTAACTAGTAATTTCCAGAGCAAGTGCCACAGTGTCAGCTAAAGAAACACAACTGCGGGTTTTCTGCAGAGCGAAATGGTTCTGAAATGTCACTGAATGGCTCACAAAGGACGCCAATCTACGACAACAGAGACATAAGCATATAGGAGAAAGGGCCCACACATCCTCCTTTCAAAGGTATGTTGTTTACATGCATGTAATTCGTGAAACCCACAGCTATTCAACTCAGGGATTTCACAGACGTTGAAACCAAAATCTGTTTAGAAAGCAATAGCGAGATTCTTCCAAAAGTCACAGAACGTTGGGTGTGGGGAGATTACGAGACGGTCTACACATAAATAGGTGTCTTACATAGTGGAGGACAGTCTTCAAGTTTCCAAGACATCAATTATAATTGTTACTTGGTGCTCATATTTCAGCATCACCTCCATGTAATTTGATTTACGAGTCTGCAAACGTGGCCCAAATGTGTACATGTCAATGTGCAGTAGCAACAGGACCTTTGAGAGGAAAATATGGAATGTTGATTCCTCAAAATTTCTTCCTGGAATGTCCCCATGGCTCATCTGACATTCACACGGTAAGAGTACAGGATGGTAGGCATGTACGTGATAAAAGAGCCAATGTGACTAAGGCTGCATTTATACCAAAGTAAAACAGCTCTCTATGTTATTAGTTTCTCCCTACTTAAATGCCTATTTTAAAAAAATTAAAATGACTAATAGACCAGTGGCTTTAGGTATCCTGTACGAGAGCCCAAAGAGAAAATGAAACAACCTGTAGAAAGCCCTCCGCTAGGCTCCTGGTCGCAAGAAGCGACTGTACCAAGGGAAGGAGACTTCAATCAGGCAAGATCACAGTCAAGTTCAGCACTGCTTTCTGACTCCATAGACTCCTAAATCTTGAAGTGATTGTGCAAACTTACTTGTGTTAAAGGAGAAAACTAATCTTACTTTAAAGTAAAAAAGAAACTAGTAATTTGGATGAAAACTACAACTTGTATTTACTTTTTAAAAAAAAAAAACAAGGATCTAAAAATCATAGCATATAATAAGGAGGAAAAAGCAACATTTTGGGAAAAAAAACAAGGAAGATCATGACATTCGAGGCAAGCAACGAAGATAATTCAAAAAATTCTGAGTCCATCATTAAGATAGTATTTTTCTTTTACAAAAATTTGCTGTTTTTCACCTAGGTCACATAAAGCTTACTGCAGGTCAGGAAATGTCTTCTGTTTCCAAAGCATCTCACAGGAGTGAGTCACTTTCGATTATCTATTTTTTTTTTATTTCTCTGTTTATAGGTAGATATTTTTCTACTTGGGATAGATTTAATATTTTTTTCTTCTGGTCTAACTTTATCCATAATGACTTAACTTATTTTCATACATAGTTCTTTTAATTTCCTGTCTGAGATCCACCTGTAGAATTGTACTTCCTGGTCTCCATCTACATCCTGTTCAAAGATGTCACTGAAAGCATATCAGTTTTTTACTCTAAGCAAGAGGGAAATGGGTAAATAACACATTTATATCTCTATGTGTATATACTGTTTATGTAAAACATATATAATGCATGCAAATCTATACACACAAAAAAGTTAGTTTCCTCAAGTTAAGATTATTAAAATTGATCCTGGGAACAAAATAACACACCTTTTCTAGGCATTCATCCCTATTATAGAGATGGAGAAAGAAAGATTGTGAGAGGGAGACACACACATTCAGATGAGCCTTTAGGGAATTGTATGAACTTTTGAACCAGAGGCGGAGAGCCAGAGCCCAGCCTGTTCCCACTTTAATAAACATTTTTTTTCTTCAATTAATTAAGGTTTGGGAAGAAAAAAAACCACAGAAGAGAAGTAATTTAGCATGCAACGCATACTTTACAGATGGATCCTACCTTCGGATGCTTATTAAATCTATGCATGATTGCGCTGGAGAAAATTAATTGCATTGTTTCTCACTATTCAAAAGGGGGTTGCAAACAGCTCAAAAATAAAAAGGAAAATGAAGCTAGGTTGTTGTTTAAAAAAAAAAAACAGCTACAGTAGAAAAGGAATACTTTCAAAGTCCTAAAACAAGTAATACCACAATTGGCATAAGAGCACAAAAGATTCCTTTACAATTGTTTGATATTTTAAAATACTGTGTATGTTGCCAGAATACATATATTTACTGTAAGTTAACAGATATTCTAGCCTCACTAAAATTTCCTATTCAGTGGCGTTTGAACTATTCAATTAAGTAGTGAGTTTTTGTTCAAATCCTGGGGTGAAGAAAGATTTACAGGAGCAGCTGGGAGTACACACTGGCACACATTCACTGTATCTTGGTTAGCTGGTATTCTCTCCATTCCAGTCTTTGGAAAAAGTGATAAACTCCTAACTTTTTTTGGAGAAAAATATAAAATATTATTATAAAATATTCAGAAGATAAGTAATTATTTGCATTTTATCAGCTTTAATTAAAAAAAAAAAAGCACAGAAGCTTCAGAAACTCAAGCTATTTTTGCCTTTTCTGAAGTCCTGCTAGTGGCAGTTGAACCGTAACCTCTCTCTTAGACCGTCCTGAAAATGACCTTTGTCAAACTTGAAAGGACCACTCTCTGTCTCAGGAGTGAGAAGAGCCATTAATTTTCCTAACTTACTCATTTCCAGATTAAGAAAAAAATCCTCGTGTTACTTCATTACAGATGCTCCTTTTGATGTGACCCACCCTGTTGTTGACGTGACTAAAAACATTTCACTTAAGAACTTCTAAACTTTTTTGATGCCATGACCCAAATAGATGGTGGTTTTATTTTACTCTTTCTCCCACGCCAAGTCTATAAATCAGTCTCTCTAATCCCTGGTTAACACGTACAATTATTTTAAAGCATATATCATGACACAAATTTTGCTAACAGTAACAAACTAAAGAACATATCATAAATAAATGAATCTGTCCCATGTATAACAGAGTTCATAAGATATGGGTAAAAATACAGATATATTAACATTGGGATTAGTTTATATAGTGCCTTTCAACAGAAGATCTCAAAGACCAATATAAATGATCTCATAAATAGTTACAGATATTATCATCCCTACTTAGGAATGGGACAAAACAAGATCATATGGGGAGACAGGTAGAACAAAACTTCTAAAACAAGTATTAGACTTTTATTCCCTTGCTTTGTCTTTTAAAATCAGATCTACCACCCTATTAGAACATCAACCAATTAAAAGTAGAGTCTCATCAACGATCAAAAACATCTGGCTCAGTCTGGGCACTACTCAAAAGAAAAAAATCCATGCTGCTGTGAGAAACTCAAGTCAAAACCGAGCTCACGCCTTGTGCTGCTAGAGTTTTTCTAAATGTGATGTAAAAACGTGTAGTACCAATTTTATTGGTTATTAAAGACAACAAATAGGAATATATGGGATTGGATCTACAGAACTTTATCATTACAAAGGACAGTTTAACTAAGGTATTAAAACAGGGTCTGCTTCAGAAATCTTGGCGGTCTTACTTAAGCCAAACCACACTGATAGGTATGAAATCACTCAATAATATGGGAGAAAGTTCCAGAAGGGAGATTTCTTACTTCAAGGCACATGAATTTATTTCCCTGCCCCAGAAAGATCTCTTCTTCTGTTTGCTGCACTCCAACCTTGAACAGCCACCCCACAGGGCTGACTGCAGCCTGTACCTGCACATTTGACCTGTGTCTTTATTCCAGATTCTCTCAGATGTTCCAACATTTACCTTTTAATTTTCCCCTACAATTGACACAATCCTCCCCATCTCAAATATGGAGTATTGCAAATGCAAGTCCTGTATGTCATCCCTAGCTATTGGTCATCTAAAGTTCTGGGACTTCCTCTATAAAGAACCTGTCACATTAGGGTACTTTATCATCTTTCTGCAAAGTTCCAAAAACAAGCACCAATAAGCAACCAGTCAGAAGCGGCTGGCAAAACAGTTGCAGCAGCATGGATGTCTCAGACTCCGTTTGGACCAATTCTCCTTGAGTACGTGGAAGGCATTATTAAAATCAAGATATCAAAAGCACAAAATAATTCTAGGAAAATATATGATGAAATTCACTTTCAGGAATCCAACAGTTTAGAATAAGTTTCAGATTTTGAGATACTGTAAAAATAAGAATAGTTAAAAGATACACTTTTAAAACCCTTGATTGACTTAGTCTTTGTTTTGTATTTCTTACACACCCTACAATGAATACACTATTCTCTTGGAGCAAAGAGCTCACTGATGACTGGGCATTAGCTTCAAGACACTATACTTTGATTTAGCAAATCCCTGTATTCATTTATTACATGGGATCCTGTTTTCCTGAAAGAGTTAAACTCCCTCTATAAGGTAAAGAGCTTAATCACTCTGGGATGAGATATTTTTTCTATTTTCCAATGCAATTACTCTTTGTCTTAAATCTAATTGAATTCACTTTCCATGTTAGTGGGGGAAGGGAGGTGGGCAGGAGAGATGCAGCATATGTTAGAAGACAAATAGTGTAAATTGTAGACTTTTCAATATAGAGAGGTTTTATAAAGATAAAAAACTGTGATCTGATAAAAATGTTTAAATATTCAGTGGTGTGGCGGGGGTGGGGGAGATTTTGGCCATTAGGAATTGGATTTTGTGTATGGAGAACATCAGGGACATTGCATAAGGAGCATTTATATTTATAATTTATAAAGTACCTTGAGATTCTCTGCATGAAAGTCACCATATAAACACGAGCATTTTCATTTCATGTGGGCGATCCCAGATTGTTGACATCTCAGCATAAACATATTTCAGTAGTCAAAGGGATATAAACTCTTATGCGGATTTGGTTTTTCTGCCATTTTCTCTTCCCTGAGTTGTAACATACACAATGGAGCATGTCCCTGCTGGCTGCCTCTTTTTCCTTTTCTCAAGTTCCTGTCTCTTTCATTTGTTTCTGTAGTGTCAGTGTACTGCCCAGCATTTGCCTTTGTACTCATAAGCTATACTGTGTAAGGAAGTAAACATTTATCTTGGATATCTCTGTGATAACGTTTTCTACCCTCAGTACTTCTAGTGGCTAAAGGAGGAAAACCTCCAGATATCATGGAAGGAGGGGAGAGGGAGGCTGTCACTCTGTGGCACATTAAGAAACACTGTAGGGGCCGGCCCGGCAGTGTAGTGGTTAAGTTCATGCACTCTGCTTCAGTGGCCCGGGGTTAGTGGGTTCAGATCCTGGGCGCGGACCTATGCACTGCTGGTCAAGCCAAGCTGTGGCGGCATTCCACATACAAAAAATAGAGGAAGATGGGCACAGATGTTAACTCAGGGCTAATCTTCCTCAGCAAAAAGCGGAAGAATGGCAAAGGATGTTAGCTCAGGGGCCAATCTTCCTCACCAAAAAAAAAAAAAAAAGAAAGAAAGAAACACTGTAGACCAAGAGACTGCTATTCTCTCCAGGTTGTTTGAAGGTACTTTAGGATATGACAAATATACATGTATAATTTGAAAGTCTTGACCACATAATCACATTTTTCAGGGTTCAATTTGACAAATACTTATTGAAGGTCTACTATACGCTAAAACTTGTAAGAGATATGAAAATAATTAAGACACAACCCCTGCCCTCTGGGAGCTCACAAACCGTTGGAGAAGCCAGCACATGTAAGTAAGATTATGCAAGGCAAATGGTAGTAACAGCTATAATAGAGGTATTGATCAAGTAAAATGCAAGATTCACAGAGGTTGAGTCCAACTTAGGGCAATTAGGAAGCCATGTCAAGAAGATCCTTGAATGATTAGTGGGCCGTGTGTGGCTGGAGAGGATGGGAAAGGCATTCCAGGTGGAAGGCATAGGGCTAGATTTGGGGAATCATGAATAATCCCATGAGGCTAAAGTTTAGGGCATGAATTTCAGATGTAGGAGGTAAGATAAAAGGTAGGCTCAGAAATATAACTTGTATTTCAGATCATGATTTCAAATCCTCTTCAAAATAAGCCCAGATCATGAAGACGCAGTGTAACCAGATAACAGTTCTTAACAATGAGTGTCCTTAGCCTATTATCCTCCCTGTATGCTCAAGAGGTTCAGTTCTTTCCCAGGCCTGCCTTCATCCAAGGAGTGCTCTGCCATCCTCAGACAAGTGTCTTGGCCTTTTGTGAAGCAATGTGGAGAGAATGAGGAGAATGAGACAGGAATTCGAAAGCCCACTTGGATCGATAATAGAGGACAGAGAGCAAAGACGCACTCTCCACCCTCTACT